TCCACTAATGGCAAATACTGATGTCTGAAAAGAAAGAGAAAGTTGCTTGAAGAAGGAGAAATTTTATTCAATGTAGTGAAAGGATTAGTTTTCTGAACTGACAGTCACTTTGAAGTGTGAACGCCAACTGTGGTTTGCATTTTGGTTTAGGTGAAATAACCATATTTTTTTTACCCAGGTGTTCCAGGCCTGTCTCTGGCTCTTTTTTTTAGAGCTCAACATCACCAAAAACTTGTGTGGAGGTTTCTGTGGAAAGGGGACAACAAAAGAAATCTTCATCTTAAGAGATCTTCATGCATGAAAAAAAAAGCAAACCCAAAACCTGTTCCAACTGACTGTTGATGTGTCTCGGCAGTGTCTGTGTTGGAGCCTGGCAGGCTTTGGAGAGTGGTGGATGGAAAAGCCCTGTGTCAACTCCATCCTGCGCAGCAGGGCTTGCCTTCAGCTCTGAAGCTCCCTAGCAAGAGCCACAAATCCCTGTCCTGAAACAGAGGGCTTCACCAGAGGGCAGCACAATATTGCTTTTTATTGTAAAAGCAGGAGTTAACCATTTCAGCCGTCTGAGGGCTTTTTGAAATTGCCTGCTGCTTGTTCCATACTTCTGACTGCAAATGAGTTGCTCTTTAAAGCTAGCTTCTGAAGCAGCTCCAAAATCCATTCTTCTAGGCATACATTAACGTTTGAGTGCCCAGGCATTCACTGAGGGGGTTCAGACAGGTGTGTTTTCAGTGTATCTCTCTGCCAGGTTTCTGTCTGGGGCTGAGGGGTGCTTGTCCAGCTTCAAGTATTTCATAGAATCATAGAATCATAGAATTGCCCAGGCCGGAAGGGACCTCCAAAGGCCATCTAGTCCGACCCCCCCGCAGTCAGCAGGGACACCCCCAACTAGACCAGGTTGCCCAGGGCCTCGTCGAGCCTCTCCTTGAATATCTCCAGGGAAGGGGCCTCAACCACCTCCCTGGGCAACCTGTCCCAGTGCTCCACCACCCTCACAGTGAAGAACTGTATCTGAGAAGCTCTCCTGTGTTGCAGGCACCCTCCCGAGTGAAGGCTATTTCAGCCTCATCATTTGGGAGGCATTTAACAGTAGGAGTAAGCCCCTCTGATGGCGCTTTGTGGGAAGGGTTCACAGAGGATGAATGTGGGCATGCTTTTTTTTGTATTATAATTATATTTACTTCTGGTCCTGTGTGCTGAGAAGCTTCTAGGTCTTCTAGTGCTTATGCCAAACTCTCACCGTTCAAGGAGCTAAGAGTCGTCACATCTTGTCTGCTCAGCTTCCCTCACGCAGGGCTTAATCTGGCATCAGCCTGTTCCAATTTATTACTCTATTCTGCTTGCACAGGTAACTGGTGTCTCCTGCAGTTGCCTCTCCTGGTTCAAGTGCCACTGTTCTTTTCTGAACTTTTCTGACCTCTTTCTCTCAACTCACAGTCAAAGCTTTGGTATCTGAATTCCTGCTCTTTTGCTGTAAATTAACTACGTCTCCTGCCCTCGGTCGCTCTCTTTGCTCCATTTGGCTTCTGCCTGGTGGGGTGTCTCCTGTCCGGCTTCAGTCTTGCACTTCACTCCTGCCATTGATGTGTAGGTCTCCCTCTGCCTCTCTCCTCCTCCTTGAAAAGGATCTCGCTCCTTTGTAAGCTCAGGCTCAATTCCATCCTCTCCTGCTCATCCCAACACTTCCTCACTCTGTCTTCAAAGATGCAGCTTTTCCATGGGGCTGCTCCCCATGTGTCTTAAGCTTTCCTTAGCTCAAATATTATCTTTATTTAAAAGCCAGCAGCCTTAAGAATATATATATGTAGAATAAAAGAATAACTTTTCCTACTGTATTAGCTTTTGGTACATTACTTCTGAGAGGAGTGTAATATTGTTCTTCAGAGAGGCTATAAAATCATTAACTTAGTAGAAATAATTTAAATGATATCTTTCAAGTCAACTTTGTGTCTGCCTTAAAAAAAAAAATAGTTATTCTGTTTTAAGAAAAAAAGAAAAATATTTTGAAATCCCTATTTTTCTTATATTTTTATTTGGCAAATATCTGGGGGGAAAAAACCCACAAAACAAGAGGTTTCTTTTTTGTTTGAATTCTCTCTTTTTATTTCCTGGGAAAAGTAAGGCAGAAAAGACAACAAAAATGCTGAAGAAAGACATTATTCCGTTTTCTTTTTTTTCACATTTAATTTTCAATATATCCTTTTTTTCCAAGGAGGGAAGAAAACTATAATTTTTTAAGGGCAAAAGAATGGGAAAAAAGAAGGTAAAAGATCTTTTATGAATAATTTTTAAAAGCTTTAACGGGGCAGAAAATGTCTTTGAAAATTCATAAAAAATGAAAGTTGACAAGAAAAATACTTTCTATTCCAAACAATTAACAAAGGTTTGGAGCTAGTTAAGGCAGGCAGTGCGCTGTGCTTGGTAGTGCTTTCTGAATAAGGACAGTCTGTCTCCTCTACAGGAATCCACCCCAGTGCTCAGTTCCCTTGCACCTCATCAGAGAGGTCTTTGCAGGCATCCCACCACATCTTCCCACCAAACCTCATTCTGCTTCTCTTAAGGTCTCTCCATTTCACAGTCAGTGATGTGACTGTGACTCAGGGTAGAAATACCCTTTAAATTTGCTTTAAAATAAGGATGAAGCAGGGCTGTACCAGATTCACACCTGAAAAATACATCATTTTTAGAATGGTCTGCCATTGCTTTTAATTTTTTTTTAAATTTTAATTTTTTAAGCTGTACCAAGATAACCACATAGGCACATTGCTTGGCAGGGGTCAGCCCCAAAGAGCGATGGCTCTTTGGTGTCAATGCTCAAGGCTACCAGTAAGATACATCTGTGCTTTGGCAAGGTCTGTGACACCTGCTCTTCCTGTCCTGTGTATTTATGGGTTTGGAGAAGTTATAGATTATCTGGCTTTCTTATAACTTGGCCAAACTAGAAATGTTTAACTACACTTTGGAGTTTGTCTTTTCAGGGTTGGCAACTTTTTCCATCTTTTGGTTTTTTCTTCCCATTTCAAGTAATTGCAGTGCCATTAATATATGAAAGAAGAAAGAAAAGAAAAGGCTTTTATCCACCAGGGATAAATTAGTAAGATTTGGTTCTTCTTGGAATATAGAATCATATAATGGTTTAGTGTGGAAGGGACCTTAAAGATCATGGAGTTCCAACTCCCCTGCCCTGGGCAGGGACACCTCCCACCAGACCAGGTTGCTCCAAGCCCCATCCAGCCTGGCCTTGAACCCCTCCAGGGATGGGGCAGCCACAGCTTCTCTGGGCAACCTGGGCCAGGCTCTCACCACCCTCACAGCAAAGAATTTCTTTCGGGTATCCAATCTCAATCTCCCCTCTTCCAATTTAAAACCATTACCCCATTGTCCTGTCACTGCACTTCCTGACAAAGAGTCCCTCCCCAGCTCTCCTGTAGCCCCTTCAGATACTGGAAGGCTGCTATGAGGTCTCCCTGGAGCCTTCTCTTCTCCAGGCTGAACAACCCCAGCTCTCTCAGCCTGTCCTCACAGCAGAGGAGCTCCATCCCTCTGATCATCTTTGTGGCCCTCCACTGGACCCATTCCAACAGGTCCATGTCCTTCCTGTGCTGAGGACTCCAGAGCTGGACACAGAGCTCCAGGTGGGTCTCACCAGAGCAGAGGGGCAGAATCACCTCCTGTGCCCTGCTGGCCACACTTCTCTTGATGCAGCCCAGGATGGGGTTGGTTTCTGGGCTGCCAGTGCACATTGCCAGCTCATGTTGAGCTTCTCATCCACCAACACCCTCAAGTCCTTCTCCTCAGGGCTGCTCTCCAGCCATTCTCCCCCCAACCTGTATTTGTGCCTGGGATTGTGAAATATGTAATATGTACACATATATTTCAAATATAAATATATATATAAATATATGTGTGAAAATACATGCATAAAATTAAAGTAAATTTTAGTGGCTTTAGACAGTATTCAATCTTATGTTTATTCTACATTTTTATTACCAAAAGATAACTGCTTTTTTTTTGCTATTGTATTCTGTTTCAGTGTTTATCCACCTTGAATTCTGACTGAAAGCCTGTAAATAGACTTTTTATAACCTGTTCCTGAATTATGGAGAAATTGACATCTTCAGCAGTGCAAAATGAAATAATTCTTTTTCATTTTGCCGTGTCAACAATGTATTACATTAAAAACATGTATAAAATTTTAGAAGATATTGTATACCAAAACCGATGTATTGTAAATACCCTTTACCTGGGATGTTTCTCCAGGGGCTGCTGTGCTCTGGCAGAAGTTGTGTTTATTCAAGTTCTTAAAAACCACTCTGTCTACCTTTCTCATTAGTTGCTTTCTTAGGCTCAGGTGGGGAGAAGCAAAAAAAAAAAGGAAGTTCAGTATTATTACTCTCCAGGCATACTATTAAGAAAATAAGCATTACACATGGAAATAAGATTAGAGCTGATCTGCTGCAAAAAAGGGTTTTGTGGTATTACTTTGAAAGACTTACTTGCCTGGTTCATCGCTGTACTTTAAGCACCAAATCACGTGCAGGCAGGAGGTGTGGAGAGAGAGGGGGTGAATGCCTGCTGCAGGCTCTCTTTTGGCTTACTGACTTTACAGAAGTTTGGTAGTTGGTTTGGAAAGCTCACTTTTCGAGGACGTTAACAAACATCACTCTAAAATAGAGTACTCTGTCCCTCAAAGTGGATTTACAAACTTTTTCCTCAAAATAAGAGCACAGAGATACCGTACCACGTGTTATTCATGGGATTGAGATTGTGGATGGGTAACAGGTTGTGTTAATATTTGACAGGTTTTGTTCTCTGTCACCATCAGAAATGGAGCTTCGTGGTCAGAAATGCAGCTGAAAATCTCTTTGGCTGTCTGGCTTGTAGTGGAAACTGAGTTTTGGCAAGACCTGGATCTGAAAATCTATCCTGCCAGATTTGTAGCTGTCAGAGTCATTATCTTCAAAACTTATTCTCACTTCTCATGGTGTTTTCCTTTTTTGCAGAAGCAGAGGGTGCACGCAGCACAGATGCCAGCCTTCTCCAAGGAGTAACCTCTTCACCCCCGAGTGACGCCAGCTCCTGGCGGAACCATGGGGCCGGAGGGTGGTTTCCTAGGCAGTGGACAGGTCCACATTATCCTGTGGGGAAGTTTGGCAGCCATGACAACGCTCCTGTTCCTCACCTTCCTCATCTTCCTCTGCTCCAGCTGCAACAGGTAAGGCTCAGAAGCTCAGCAGGCAGTAGCAGTTCTTGAGTCAAATAGTGAGGGGACTGAGATAGCTTTACTACCTAGCAAGAAATACCAAGGAGTTAGGTACAGAAATGAAAAAAGTATGGTACAAAATCTGTTTTCAGAGCAAACCTGAATTTGCACAGTTCCATTCATTCTAAAATCTAAATTTTGGGGGTTTTTTTTAATCTTTTGCTGTGAAGGAAAAGCACTGGTTTGTTTGTGAGGTGCTTGCTCCTCAGCTGAAGCCTGGAGTGCAGGTGGACACTGACTGTTAGCAGGTCACGCCGCTAACCTCAAACTGAGAAAATCAGGTGGGCTGAACAGGATCAAAAAAATTTATTCTACATATGTCAGCCTTGCTTTGGCTGTTCCTGAAGACTAGGGGATTGATCCTGCCGTTCAAGCCAAAATGAGTAAGAATCAGTGATGCTAGTTAATGTCTTGTACTCATACCTTATGCTTGTTTTCTTCTCCATAAGAGGGTTTGATTTCACCAATACAGGCACTTCTGCTGACTTTGTTTATTCCCATTCCAAGGTCCCATCATGACACATAAGCTGAGCCCCTCTGGTTGCACGGGGGAGCTGGGCAGGCTGCCCTCGGTCCAGGGCACCCTTCCACCTCCTCAGACAGGTCAGGTCCTTCACCCTGAGGAGCAGCATGGCTCAGTCACCCAAGAGTATGGGATTAAGAAACAACTATTCATAACTCAGTACAGCAGCAAAATCTTTGGTTTGGACTCTTACGCCTGTGGGTGTATGTTCTTTTGTCCTTTCAGCATTGGGAGCGTGGAGAAGGCTGTGCAGCCATAAAATACACTACACTGGCATAAGATGTGTCTACAGAGGGAAGCCCTGGTTTTCAGCAGGATTTCTCTAATGCCCATAAAAAAAAAAAAAAAAAAAAAGAAAGAGTTGTGGGCGAGACTAGCCCCCAGGGTTGGCTGGAATCCCTAAAAAGTTGGAACTTGAGTTGGAACTTGTAATTGTTTGTGGTTCAGAAGAAATGCCTTTGTGAGCTGTTAGATGACATTTCAGTATCTTCCTATTCATCACAGTTTCCTGTGATACCTTTGTAAAAATAGTAGAAATACCTTTTTTTTTTAATTTATTTAAAAGTATAAATTTAAATGTTATTTTTAAAGTCCTTAAAAATGCCATTTAGGCGCTAGGTTTTGTCTTGTAACGCTTCTGTCCTTGAAACATCTCTAGAAAGATGTTTTTAAAACAGAGTCAAACCACTGAGTACGTCTTTGCAGTTAGAGACACGTTGTCAGAGACTGTCTGGTGATGCTTTTAATAAATTCTTGCGTTGCTAGTCTGGATGCAGTATCTTTTAGTTCAGGTCATTCCTTAGGGCAGGTTGTTTACGCATAAATGCAATTATGTAAAATTTCTTCCTAGCTTACTCTTCAAAAGTGGTTGAGGACACAGAAAACTGAACAAAATCTGTTCTTTCTGAAACGTCAAAGTCAGAAAAACTTCCAGAGAGGAAATTTAAGTATTTGTAAACTTTAACCCTGCTCTGCGTTGGTACAGCCTTACTTACTCTGTTTTCTTATTTCCTAATTAGGCAGAATTTTAACAGTTGCTAATGGGGAAAGTACGGTGCATTGCAGACTTTAGCAGCAGCACAGATTTCTTATTGTCAATATTTTCTCACCTTTTTCTTGCCTTTTCGTCTAGGGAAAGGACTATTATTATATTAAGCTCATAGTTTATTACAGCATTTTAGAATAAGAGCTGTATTTCCAAAATGTTAATAACTGGAAATGTGCTCCATACTTTAAGTTCTGTGAAGTATCCAGTGAAACAGGATTTGTTTTAAAGTGAAGGCCTCTGGTCCTCTGAACTTGGAGGCCTCCTTGAACTGCTCATGCTTATCATTAACTATAACTATCATCACGAGTGGGAGCAGGCTGGATTTTGTGGGTCTTTTCTAATTCTTCATAGGATGAACCCATTTTACTGACACACTTCAAGGAACTCCCCAGGTAGTCAGTCTGTCATCAAAACATGTATCTCATGTATCTCTAAGCATTTCAGATATAAGTGGAGGATAATAGTATTTTTATTATCAGTTACTCCTTACTGTGGTCTTATGCTGAAGGAGAAAAGGGGTTGTGTGTGTTTGTTGTACCTCTTCAGATATGTTTAGCACCACTCTGCCTCGATGGTGACCTTACACAGAGGTCATACCAGTCCCTGTAATAATTTTTAGTTATTCGATTTTCAATATTATTGTGAATCACAGCTCTGTTCCCTGCAGGTGTGTAAGGTCTATTAATGATTGACATTTGTATATTAGCATAATCTGTAGTAACAATTCATACATCTTTTTCATTAAGGGAGAAGAAGACCAAACATCAGAATGGAGATCATGAAAATCTGATGAAGGTGGTAAGTATTTATTTGTGGCAGGTTGTGTCTGTCTTGTGGTTAGTTTGTACCAAGCTCCTTGCAAAATACTGCAGGGTGGACATTTTTCAAGAAGGAAGTCTTAAAGGCACAGGAGCAGGCTGTCCCCAGGTGCTGAAAAACGAGCTCTTGGGGGAAAAGACCAGCCTGGCTGAACAAGGAGATACGGTTACAACTTAGGGGAAGAAAAAGTGAGAGTTTATGGTCTTTGGAAGAAAGAGCAGGCTACTCAGGAAGGATGCAGAGATGCTGTAAGGCTTTGTAGGGAGAAAATTAGGAGAGCCAAAGCCCAACTAGAACTTAACCTAGCTTTGGATGTTAAGAACAATAAATAGAGTTTCTATAAATATATTAGTAACAAAAGGGGGACTAAGGAGAATCTCCATCCTTTAACAAACAAAGGTGGTAACGTGTTGCCAAAGGGTGAGGAGAAGACTGAGGTACTTAATGCCTTCTTTGCCTCAGTCTTTAGTAGTAGAGTAGGTTCCCCAAGTACCCAGACCCCTGAGCCAGCAGATAGGGGTGGGGAGCAGAATGAAGGCCCCTTAATCCAAGGGGAGATGGTGAGGGACCTGCTGGAACACCTGGACATACACAAGTCTATGAGGCTGGATGGGATCCACCCAAGGGCACTGAGGGAGCTGGTGGAAGTGCTCACTGAGCCACTCTCCATCATTTACCAGCAGTCCTGGCAAACTGGGGAGGTCCCAGCTGACCAGCATCTGGCCAATGTGACGCCCATCCACAAGAAGGGTCGGAAGGATGATCCGGGGAACTCCAGGCCTGTCAGTCTGACCTCAGTGCCTGGGAAGGTCATGGAACAGACCATCCTGAGTGCCATTATGTGGCACATGAAGGACACCCATGCGATCAGGCCCAGCCAGCACGGGTTCATGAGGGGCAGGTCCTGCTTGACAAACCTGATCTCCTTCTATGACAAAGTGACCCGCTTGGTGGATGAGGGAAAGGCTGTGGATGTTGTTTATCTGGACATTAGCAAGGCCTTTGATACAGTCTCCCACAGTATCCTCCTGGAGAAACTGGTTGCCCATGGCTTGGATGGGAGGACTCTCCTCTTGGTTAAAAACTGGCTGGAGGCCAGGCCCAGAGAGTGGTGGGGAATGGAGTCAAATCCAGTTGGTGGCCGGTCACGAGTGGTGTCCCACAGGGCTTGGTACTGGGGCCAGTTCTCTTCAACATCTTTATAAATGATCTGGACGAGGGGATTGAGTGCACCCTCAGTCAGTTTGCAGATGACACCAAGCTGGGTGGGAGCATTGATCTGCTGGAGGGTAGAGAGGCTTTGCAGAGGGATCTGGACAGGCTGGATGGATGGGCCGAGGCCAATGGGATGAGGTTCAACAAGGCCAAGTGCCGGGTCCTGCCCTTGGGTCCCACCAACCCCCTGCAGCGCTCCAGGCTGGGGGCAGAGTGGCTGGAGCTGCCTGGCAGAAAAGGACCTGGGGGTGTTGGTGGACACCGGCTGAACAGGAGCCAGCAGTGTGCCCAGGTGGCCAAGAAGGCCACCAGCATCCTGGCCTGTGTCAGGAACAGCGTGGGGAGTAGGACTCAGGAGGTGATGGTCCCCCTGTCCTGGGCACTGGTGAGGCCTCACCTCCAGGGCTGGGTTCAGTTCTGGGCCCCTCACCACAAGAAGGACATTGAGGGGCTGGAGCGGGTCCAGAGGAGAGCCACCAAGCTGGGGAGGGGTCTGAAGAACAAGTCTTACGAAGAGCAGCTGAGGGAGCTGGGGGTGTTCAGTCTGGAGGAGAGGAGGCTGAGGGGAGACCTCGCTCTCTACAACTCCCTGAAAGGAGGGTGTAGCCAGGGGGGGTTGGTCTCTTCTCCCAAAGAACAGGCCATGGGACAAGAGAAAATGGCCTCAAGTTGCACCAGGGGAGGCTTTCATTGGATATTAGGAAAAATTTTGACACTGAAAGGGTTCTTAAGCCTTGGAATGGACTGCCCAGGGAAGGGGTTGAGGCACCATCCCTGGAAGGATTTAAAAGACAGGTTGACGTAGTGCTTAGAGACATGGTTTAGTGATGGTTTTTATCAGAATTAGGTTGATGGTTGGACTAGATGTTCCAGAAGGTGTCTTCCAACCTAGGCAACCTATGATTCTGTGGCTCTCCTGCCAGTAATACCTGTGAGTCTCCCAAGAGCAGAATGAAATCCATCACGTATCTATTGATGAGACCGGTTATTCTGATCCAATGGTGATTAGATCTCACTAATTTGTGTTGCAGCCTTCCGACAAGGAGGTGTTCAGCCACTCGATCACAAGTTCAGCTACAGAGCCCCCTCCGAGCAGCGACCAGAACGGGGCACTCAGCAACGGCGAGGGTGAGCAGTGCAGCCCTTGCCGGGGGGGACAACCAGCAGCACCGTCCCCTTGCTCACAGATCCCACCTTAGGGGCACACTGGTGGTCCCTCAGGTCTTAAATTTCCAGCCGTTGGCTTTCCGAGCTCACAGTTGCACCATTAGTCTGAATACCCTGCGTTTCCCTCTGCTCACCTCAGGAGGGCACTCAGTCCTCTTTCCACAGGACATAATTCACACAAAACCTAATAATATTTATTAAGTTAAAAAATACAGCGAGCATGTTTGCCTGGCTGGGCAGTCAGTAGCCCATCCCATGGATATGCTGGCATTTTAGGCTTTATCTCCACTTCTCTGTCATGCTTTGGCACAGCCCTACACCCTGGCTTCTTCCCACCATCCACCCCTGGTCCTTCCCACCAGCCACCCCTGGTCCTTCCCACCAGCCACCCTTGGTCCTTCCCACCAGCCAGCACTAGGAAGGTGCTAAGGTCCTCCTCTGGGCCACTAAGCTACATCTGCAGATTGACCAGGCCATCAGGCAAAGACTGTGGCATTCCCTCATCTCAGCCAGCTACAGAGTTGAGACGTGACCAGAAGATGCAGCTGAAGCTCGGAGCTACACTCCTGGAGGCTGTAGAAATATTTCAGTTCCTCCTCCAAGGACTACCTCTTTGGATCGCAGTCCCGTGCTGTGCAAGGCTATCGCTTGTATTTTTGTATTTTAGAAAACAGGCAACATAAGTGAGCTTCTTTTTTTTTCCTGAGTCTTTGCTTTGCTGAACGCTTAAAATGATTCACAGGGAAGTATCCCTGAAAAATATTTTACTCAGCTGCACCTAAAAATAAGCTCAGCTTGGAGCTGCTGGGAGCCAACTGTTGTATCCACACCAGGCACCGACACCATGGGCTGTGCTCCTCGTCCCCTGCCTCCTCATCTCACTGCACAGCCAGAGGCTGAGCTCTTCAGTCTTTACCCCTCAGAGACAAGTATCCAAAGGAATTTTTAAACTTTGATTTGGCAGGTAAAGGCTGCTCCCGTCCATGGGCTCGTTGCGCATGTAGGTGTGTGGCTCCCGGGGAGACTCGATGGGCAAAGCCCTGCAGAAGGGAAGGGTTTCTCTTTGCTATGGGTCACCACCTGGGCAGTCAAAGCTTCTACCAAAAGGCATGCTGTCAACCAGCAGACAGTGTTCAGACTGATACTACTCCGCTTACACAGCCCTTCCAAATAGCAGGAACCGATGTGCTTTAATTTCTTATTTATACCTTATGCATTCTTTTTGCTAATAGTTCTTTGCCTCGCTCTTTCTGCAAGCCTCTTGAACAGGGGCAGGGCTGTTGAAGCAGCACCATCAAGTGGCTGATTGCTTTGGCAACACTTTGTGTCATCGTGTCAAACCCACTGAAGAAAATAGAAGAATGGGTTGATTTTGCTGAGAGAGCATCATAGGAGCTGTTACTGAGAAAAGTAAAGCTACTCAGAAGTGATTTTTTCAAAGAACTAGTAGTGTCACGTAAAGTTACATACCATATCCTACCTGAAACGTGCTTGTATGTGCCCGTGTAGACATCCCAGGCAAATGTCATACGTGTGCACTGTTAGGATGAGAAGTCCCATAGCTTTCAGTCCCTGATACCCTCTAGAGCCGGTGATACGCAACCCGTTCCCAGGCCTGAAAATAGCACGTTCTGCCTAACGCTACTTTCTGAAGTCTAGCCTTCTCTTTTGTGCATATGGCTGGCTCTTTAGTAGGTTGTCAGCCTACATTATGTGCTGTGAGACTAAGAGGAGTACGGCACAGCCTCCCGGTGAGGAGCTTCTGGTGCAGCGTGCGGTGAGGCCAGCACGTTAAACAAGATGAGGGCTGGGTAGGGACGAAGCAAGAACCGCTCTCCTTTTTGATTCCAAAGGACAGAGAAGTGGAAAAACTAACAAGGCTTTTTTTTGAAGGTCTGAGGCCCCCCACCAGCATTCCCTACCTGTAAGCATTCAGTATAAGTTATATATCACAAAGATGGTTAAGGGCCTGGAGCATCTCTCTTATGAAGAGAGGCTAAGGAATTTGGGTCTTTTTAGTCTAGAGAAGAGAAGGCTGAGGGGGGATGTGATCAATGTTTATAAATACTTAAAGGGAGGGAGTCAGGAGGATGGGGCCGGTCTTTTTTCAGTGGTGCCCAGGGACAGGACAAGAGGAAATGGGCACTAACTTGAACATAAGAAGTTCCACCTAATCATGAGGAGGAACTTCTTTACTGTGAGAGTGGTAGAGCACTGGAAGAGGCTGCCCAGGGAGGTGGTGGAGTCTCCTTCTCTGGAGACATTCGAAAACCACCTGGACAAGATCCTGTTCAACCTGCTCTAGGTAGACCCACTCCGGTGGTGGGGTTGGACTTGATGATCTTCAGAGGTCCCTTCCAACCCCCTGTGATTCTGTGATTCTATGATTCTATAACCAAGTACAGTTGAACATCCATGCACACCTGCACCTGCCGGCCCGTCCCGTGTTCTTACTGTGAATGGTGTTGCTATATAATGTGACTTGGGGGTGCACAGAGTATTTAAGATGTTGTGAGAAAGGTATTTTAACAATGGAGTGCAGAAATGTCTGTAACTGAAACCTTTTGATAAAGGAAAAGCGTGATGATCACTATAGTTATGCATTTGTTTTAAATGCTTCTTCATAATTTTCTCTAGTACTCTCAGAGGACAGCACAACTGCCTGTATCCAGCCTTACGAGGAAGTACAGACATCTGTCTCAGATCTGCTAGATCCACAGGATAGTCTTGGAAAGCCTATCAAATGTCACCAGAGCCGGGAACTACCCAGTATTCCCCCTAACACCACCATGGAAACCATCATCTCAGCTAGAAATGCAGAAAATGATCAAAGTCTGGGAATGGAAGGGCCTTACGAAGTCTTGAAAGACAGCTCCTCTCAGGAGAACATCGTTGAAGACTGCTTGTATGAAACTGTGAAGGAAATTAAAGATGTTGGGACAGTAGCCAGCGTGGAAGGGAGCTGTAACAGCAAATCAAAGGCTTTGCTGATGGTTGCTGAAGGTCAGAATCAGATTCCTGACTGCAGAATTGAATCAGCAGAATATGCATCTGTTGACCGAAATAAAAAAAGTCGCCAAAGTGCTAATTCAGAAAGCCCTCTTGACAACACACCAGATGTAGAGGATGAACTTCCCCCTCCGGTACCCATGAAACTTCTTGATGAAAATGAGAATGTGCAAGAAAAAGAAGTGGAAGAAGAAGTGACGGAAGGAGCAAGTAAACCAGAGAAGGTAAATACTTGTCAAACAGCCAAATAATGATAGAGAGAGAGGTGAGAGGACTTTTTCTTTAATAACAAAAATACCCCAAGAACCCATCAAATACTCAAGGTGATACAAAACTGAAAAATATGGAAATATGAAAATGTACATTATAGTCTTTGCCTTATAGGCATGTACTCATTCTATTGCAGCCTATATTTCGGATGGCTGCAGCGTGCACTTCATAAGGCTTTCCCCAGATTCTATCCAGAAATTGCACATGAGGCCTCTGCTGCTTTGCTGAGCGGTATGATCCTTGTGGGAGCTATTGCAAGAGGGGTCCAGTATCTCTGTCAGCATCTGTATCTTGTTTGGAATTCCCCCCTTGGTTTTTTTTTCTAATGAAACCTCAATTTACAAAAAGGAAAAGAGGCCATTCTTGGTGGATGTCCTAACTCTAGATGTGCCTCCTTTGCTGGGCCACCTTGATTTAGCTGTGCAAGTGCTAAGGCATCTGCTCAAAGCCACTCATCATTTCTCATTGTAGGAGAGAGGGACAGAAAGAGAGAGGGGTTGTAACTGTGGGCTTTCATATTTGTCAGATTCTGTCTGTCACATGTAAACAGAGTAATGAATCTCTACCTGCTGACATCATGGCCAAAGTGCTGTTTTGTCAGCAGCTTATTCTTTCTCCAGCCCAGGGACAAGGTAGTGGTGAGCTCCTTGAAAAATCGCGTGATGACATTATCAACAAGTTATTTTCCCATTTTTAGTATTTCACCAGAATTAATTTTAAGGATGCTTCCATGTCATTGCACAGACTTTTCATAAACTGTTGGGTTTGCATTTTTCAGAACTAGATAAATTTTTTTTTATCTAGACTCTTCAGAGCACATTTTTACAAATAATGAGCTCGTTAAGTAAAATGCGAAGATGTGATTGTCAACAACAATCCACCAACACTCCCCCTGCCCAAATTCAGGCCATATGTAATTTCTAATTAAACTTTTAGAGAAAACAGCTTTCCATAACAGTGACATTTTTCCTACCAGGTGTGAAAGGACTTGCAGAAAATCATTGTATTTCCTGGGCACCGATACAAAGGAAGAGCATTTGCTGCTCTGTAGCTCCCCAGTACACCGTGTATAGAGTGTCAGTAACTGCAAGGAGTGGGAATTGATTATAACGGTTCAGGTTTTGAAGGATTAATCAAGAGATGACACATGCAGTCCCCGAAGTGCTAGGAAAAAAAAAAAAAAAAAAAAAAAAAAAAAAAAAAAAAAAAAAAAAAAAAAAAAAAAAAAAAAAAAAAAAAAAAAAGGTGTTTGTCTAATTAAAATTTATTCAGAGCTAAAGCCATCCTGAGTTAAAGCTTGGGCAGCATCAGATCACTCCCGCGTTCGCTGTTAGGTACATGCATTATGCATGGAAGCATGTGCCTGTCCTGTCCTTGAGAGCTACAGCTGCAGCAGAGTTGGAAATGGTAATTGATGGAATATATAAATGTCATTATTGTTGGCGTTGTGTGGGGAGGTGGTGGCAGGGTTGTTTTTCTGTTGTGATGATGATAATTTCCCCCTCTATTTTGTTGCGTCAAACAATGCAGAGCAATGCCTGTTTTCTCTGATGTGGCAAGCAAACCCAAGATGTTTATGGAAATGTATGTTACATTGATAACTCTTTCAGTTAAACTGATTCTTTTTTGCTTCCTCTCTTGTGAGGCTATTTAGCTGCCTTGCTTAACATGACATCCCTACCCCAAACTTTTCAACCCTCTGCCCTGACCCCGATGAAGAGAAGTTGGGTGTAAGTCACGCCAGGTCTCTCTGGCTACAATTAGGCTTTGCTTTAGTAGAGCACAAAGAAGGGACAGGCGGGGAGGCAGCTCGTACCTGCCAAGAGAGAGAGAACAGATTGTGTCCAGGATGTTTCAGCCTCACCCTGTAGAAGATGCTGGCCAGGATGGTCCCCATTGCCCATGCCAGTTCCTGAAGCACACTCGTTTGGGAGAGGGCTGGGTGGACCAAGCCAGAGACAGTTCTAGTGTATAACAGCATGAAAAGGGTAAAGGATCCTTTCAAGAGCCAGACATGCAATAAACGGGTAAAAGTTAATTATCTAAATTGGTTATTGGCCGTGACCCATCTAAATCCTTTGGAAGATTTTTGTGAAGAAAGACATTGTTAATAACACTTGGGCATGGTTCTTTTCATAAAATTGGAGAGGCAGAATAGTTTTTCTTCAGCTCTTCCTTTTTAATTAAAAAAAAAGGAAGCATGGATCCCCTTTTTCATCCAGGTCTTTCCAGAGTGAGCAGTGGAAGAAATGCTCTCTGTGTGTACATTTGGCTGCTGCCATCTGGTTTCAAACTTGGGCAGGCTGAGGATGAGCAAAGAATCTCTTATAAATGCACCAGAGGAGAATGGTCATCTTGTTCTGGTGCCCGAGTCAGGAGCAGCAGCTGAGCCAAAGAACCACAAATCAAGTGCTATCGAGGAACAAAAGTGGAAGGCAAATGGGGACACATGCTGGGTGTTTTGCTGTTGTTGAGATTTTGACCATAATTTATAATAATGCTAGGTATGAAATGTTTAGGAGCAAGTATTTTTTTCAGTTTTCAAGATGACAATATCCTTCAAAATTCATGTGTCACGGGTTTCACATTTAGAAGCAAGCAAGCTGGGTCCCAGGGAAACAAGAACACCCTGGGGTATTTGTCAATACTTGAGTGGGAAACTGTAGAAGGGTCCTGACACGTGGTGCTTATGGGCACACTGATGACAGAAAATAACTTCACTGAAGAATTTTGCAAGCATGTGTTTGTTTTAATGTGTGAGGATGAAATTAATAACTTATTCAAGAGAAAAAATATCCCACAAATAAGAAAGACTTAAACTGAGCTGGTATAGTGAAGCAGATCCAAAGAAGCAGATCTAAAGACCTTATAAAGGGCCAAAATATGTTTGGGCTTCTCTTTTTTTTTTTTTTTAATAAGTAAACAAACCATGGGTTTAAGAGCTCATTCTCTAGAGGGTGAGAAAGAAGCAAGGGGGCTGTTAGGTGTGAGAGAAGCCCCCTGGGAGCAGTGAGCAGACTTCAGTGTGCTTTGGGTCAGAGTCTTCATCAGATGTGCCCTAGGGGTTTGAAGCTTGGTATTTACCAGAAGTAAAAATACCAAGAAAAACAGAAATAGGAGAAAAACTGTTGCAATGAGGCTCCGTGGAAAAACAAAAAAATTCTTGTGTGTCTAGTATGTGCCTAGAAGCGATATTTGGTTGACTGTTCTAAAAATAGCTCTACTGGTCCACCTTGATCTGCACTGGAGGAGGTCTGAATTACTGTAGATGGAGAATTTGCATTAAACTCCAAAATATGGCTCATTACAAACAGTGCTGGGAGGTTCCCTCTGAATCACTGCAGAGCAGGAGTCCAGCAAAGCCTTCTCGCCCCAGGGTGGGGGGAATCATACAATCACAGAATCACATGACGTTGGAAGGGACCTCTGGAGACCATCCAGTCCAACCCCCTGCCAGAGCAGAGCCACCCAGAGCAGGTCCCACAGGAATGTGTCCAGGCACGTTTGAATGTCTCCAGAGAAGGAGACTCCACCACCTCCCTGGCCAGCCTCTGCCAGGGCTCTGCCACCCTCAAAGTGAAGAAGTTCCTCCTCATGTTTAGGTGCAACTTCTTCTATTCAAGTTAGTGCCCATTTCCTCTTGTCCTGTCCCTGGGCACCACTGAAAAAAGACCAGCCCTGTCCTCTTGACACCCTCCCTTTAAGTATTTATAGGTGTTGATCAGAGCCCCCCTCAGCCTTCTCTTCTCCAGACTAAAAAGACCCAAGTCCTTCAGCCTCTCTTTGTAAGGGAGATGCTCCAGGCCCCTCATCATCTCTGTAGCCCTCTGCTGTCCCGTCTCCAGCAGTTCCCTGTCCTTCTGGAACTGGGGAGCCCAGAACTGGTCCCAGTGCTCCAGATGAGGCCTCCCCAGGGCAGAGCAGAGGGGCAGGATGACCTCCCTCCACCTGCTGCTCACACTCTTCCTGATGCCCCCCAGGATGCCGTTGGCCTTCTTGGCCACCAGGGCCCATTGCTGGCTCATGGCCATCCTGTTGTCCACCAGGACTCCCAGGTCTTTCTCCTCAGAGCTGCTCTCCAGCAGGTCAGCCCCAACCTGTCCTGGTCCATGGGGTTATTTCTTCCCAGGTACAGCACCTGACACTTGCCTTTATTGGAAGTTCATCAGGTTCCTCTCTGCCCAGGTCTCCAGCCTGTCCAGGTCTCACAGCTGCTGTGAGGCAGCCAGGGTCTTTGTTTCCGTAAGGGTCCTAAGATATTTTTCATAAGAGCAAATTGCTTCTCCCCCAGTGTTTCGTGACCTAATTTCTACATGATGCTTTACGTGCTTGAAGTTGGACTCGATACCAAACCAAGCCCTCCATCCTTTAGTAACCTTGCCATGTGAACTGGATCCAGAGGGATGCTTTGAGGGTTGAGCTGCCCATCTCAGGGTGGGTTGCAGCAGGTCTTTCCTGTGTTTGTGGTCTGAGCAGTGGTCTGGGCAGCTCTGCACCTCTGTACAGCCACTGCAGTTTGTGGAGGAGGAGAACATGTCATCATCTCCCTTTCAGCACTTCCAGGACCCACTGAATGAAGGGTAACAATCACCAGGAAGGTGCCAGTTGGGTGTTATTCTTTTGTCATCTAAAAGCATATCTGAAAATCACATGGAAGGCCAACTAGTGTGTCACAACAGCTGACTTTTAATTACAGAATCACAGAATCACAGAATCTTCTAGGTTGGAAGGGACCTTAAAGATCATCTTGTCCAACTGTCAACCTAACTGACAAAAATAGACACCCGCACAACAAACAAGAAGCATCATCACTAAACCAGACCTCCCAGCACTACATCAACCCGTCTTTTGAACACCTCCAGGGATGGGGCCTCAACCACCTCCCTGGGCAGCCCATTCCAAGGCCTGAGAACCCTTTCCAATGCCTGATAACCCTTAATTGTTCAAAAGCCTTTGGAGACTCTTTCTTGCTTAAGTAGAAGCGAAAAGGCAAGAGTACAGTGGGGCAGAATTTGTTTTAACCACTACATTATTTTTACCCTTTTCAGGTCAGGACAAGAGCAGATACATTAAAAAGCTCTACTAACCTCAGGGCTGTTATCTCCAGAGATCTCTCTGGATATTAGGGATATTGGCTACGTAAAATGGAACTAGTAAGCAAATGACCATAAAATATATTGTATTGGTTGTAATGGGAGGGTTTTATTCCAGGTTTCACGCTGTTGGCTGAGCCTTTTTTTTTCTTTCATTCTTTTCTTTTTTACAGAGGCTTAGTTCAATGTCTTACAAGTCTCGAGAGGAAGATCCGTCTCTTACAGAAGATGAGGTAGGTTTCTTGCATGAAATTCAATAACTAACCAGAGACCTTTTTTTCGGGCAGAAATTAGCATAAGCTGTGCATGATTAAGCAGGATCTAAGAAAGGTGACATTTGTCTGAAGGGAAAATGAAAGCCGAAGTTTCTCCGCACAGAGTTTGTGGCTGCCACATTCCTAAAATCAGAGGTACCCCAGCACATAGCTGTATCAGGCCAATAGGTTAAAAAATGGTGTCAGAAAATAACAGGAGGCCACAAATAGCTGATCGTTAGGACAACCTCTTGATTTGACAAGATATTAAGAATAATAATCAGCAGTCGTTTGAAACATCCTGCACCTTCCCTGTGCAACGAAGTGTTTGGGGCTCTGGGAAACAAATGGAAGCACAATAAAAGTGTTAGAGCATTAAAATGTCTGTTACTCAAATAAATCAAGGTGATTAAAACACAGACGGAAAAGTTAAACAGAAATAAGGTTGCTTGTGATTATCTGCAGTACGGGTGTGCAATTTAGAAATACATTCTCCGGACACAAAAGCAAGCACAAAGTTGGCAATGAGCAGAGTGCGCTAATGCTTTCTGCTGGGCAAAGGGCTCCCAGTCATTAATGAATAAATTGATTCTTGAACTGGGTTCCTGTAATCTAATGCCAGTTGGTTGGCTGAAATCAGGACAAAGTAAGTAGCATTGCCATCTACAACTGGATGTCTCTCTTTATTGAAAAAAAAATATCCAAAAAGCAACCAACTAAGAATGAAGAGAAGCAATGTGGTTCATCTCCATCAGTCATTGTTGCTTAATGGTAACGGACATTTTCGTGCCCATCTACTATTTTAATTGGATTGATTGGCCCCATCTGGAATACTGTGTCCAGTTCTGGGCTCCCCAGTTCCAGAAGGACAGGGAACTGCTGGAGAGGGGACAGCAAAGGGCCACAGAGATGATTAAGGGCCGGGAGCATCTCTCTTATGAAGAGAGGCTGAGGAACTTGGGTCTTTTTAGTCTAGAGAAGAGAAGGCTGAGGAGGAATCTGATCAATGCTTATAAATACTTAAAGGGAGGGAGTCAGGAAGGTGAGGCTGGTCTTTTCTCAGTGGTGCCCAGGGACAGGACAAGAGGAAATGGGCACTAACTTGAGTATAAGAAGTTCCACCTAATCATGAGGAGGAACTTTACTGTGAGCATGGTAGAGCACTGGAACAGGCTGCCCAGGGAGGTGGTGGAGTCTCCTTCTCTGGAGACATTCAAAAACCACCTGGACAAGATCCTGTGGAACCTGCTCTACGTAGACCCACTCCGGTGGGGGGTTTGGACTAGATGATCTCCAGAGGTCCCTGCCAACCCCATGTGATTCTGTGATTCTATGATACAAATCCAGAGTGGCCTTGCATCCTTGGGAAAGGCTTTAATGTAACAGAAGAGCTACGCATCAGTCCCAGGAAGCGGGAGCGGAGGGACATGTGTGGATAGCAGCTTCTCCTTCACCTCTTCATTAAGGGCCACCTTTGCACGCTTGCTCAAGCATACCACTTACTCAGAGGGGATTTTTAGAGCTAGGAGGGAAGCTCTGGCTCCCTCTTTGTGTTTATAGTAGCTAAGAGGTTTCAATCTGAAGTCTTAAATTCTGATACACCGAGACTAAGATGCAGCTCCTCTCTGCAGGGAGAGTTTAGTCAACAGAACAGGCCTCGTGTATCAGGATGGGCACTGACTGTTTGCTATTTTCTGGCGTGGGTAATTCCTGATTTTTAATCTTCTCTGCACATGGCTTGGTGCCTCTTTGGTCCTGCCTATAAATACAACAAATAACTACTCTCCTATTGGGATGTATCTGAAAGCAGAAAAGTAGCCACTACCATTAAAAATAACAATAATTTAAAAAAAGCCAAAGGATCAAACAGCATCCTTCTCCGATGTTACAGCAGCTAAACCTGATCATCCCTGTGACACCTGCCTCCCCATGGAGCCCAAGCTGGCTCCAGGACCGTAGTAAAACTTGTAAGATCTCCTGCTTACAAAGCCATTCCCTTCTGTCATGGGTCTAATTTGCCTGCAGGGGATCTATGTTCAAAGAATTTTTACGTTTATAAACTTCTTTCATAAAGCATTCTTTTTTTGAAGGAAAATCAGTTTGTAAATGCACGTCAGAAAAGAAAGTATTTGTAAGAAATGCTTTTTTATGTGCAAAAAAGGCTATGTTTTTATTAGAAGATCCTGTCTTTTCTTAAGTAACCAGCATCCTTGTGGTACAAACGGGCACACCAGCTTTATGCCTTGCTTAAATACTCAGTAGGTGTCTCCTTTTCCTAGATCTCAGCCATGTACTCATCGGTGAGTAAGCCGGGACAGGCCACGAAGGCACTGGATTCTCCTTACACCTGTATTCAGGAGATTGCGTCGCAGAGGTCCCCGTCAGTCTGCAGTGGCCTCTACGCAAGCGTGAAGGACTTTGAAAACACCCTAAATGCTACCACTGTGCCTCAGTCAGCCGACAGACCCAACGGGGAGCTGGAGCCTGACTATGAAGCTATCCAGTCTATCAGCCAAGAAGAAGACAGGACCTTGTCTGTGCCTAATACAAACCACACTGCTCTTTCAGGAGAGAGTGACTATGAGAGCATAGGGGACTTGCAGCACCACAGGGAGTTCACCAGACTTTAACCGCTCCGGCCGGCAGATCTCTCTGCTGGTGTTTTCAAAGGAAAATGCGAAACACGGAGAAGGAAGCGCTTCTCCTTTTGAGGAACAAAGCTGAGAACAGAAGTTGTGAAGCAGAGGCGTATTTATTAGTGTGATACCCGCTGGGTTATTCCGGAGGGCAGGGGGAGGCTCACGGGAAAGGGTACGTCAGGTCAGAAGGACCACCAGGACAACGGAAAGGCTTCTTCATTGTCCACTCCCAAGAAGCTGGGAAGGAGTGCCATGCTTGTCCTCCCGATAGGAATACATACCAAAAAGACTGCCTTTACACAAAGATAGCTTTTCATATTGAGAGATTATTTTATGTCATTTGCTTCAAAGTGGTTTTCAAGCATCTTTTTTTTTCATTCGAGTTTGGGCCCCCCCAGCGTCGAGCACCTGAGGGATCAGCGTACCTCAACTCAGAGTCCTTTGCAGGGCTGGGGAAGGCACGCTTGAGTCTGTCTGCTGAGGAGCTCTGCCCACATTCACTGCAATTAAAGTACAAACAAAAAGAACTTCACGAGGGACCTACTCCAAATGTACTTGAATTAATTCTGTCAGCTTTTTTTTGTTGTTTTTTTTTTTAATGTCAAGGGCTGTAGAATGTGACTTGCAATATTTGAGATGTGTTCTGGTATTTGTAGATTTTTTTTGTTCGATTATTTGTGAAATACCAACTCTAAAATGGCAAAGTGACACCCTCAGCATTCTTGCATCCCCATGTGCACACCTACACCTTCACGTACACACCCCAGACAATCGTCACGTTGCAAAAAGTTGTGCAAACGAATGCATTGGCCTGATGTTTAGTCTAACCTTAGTGGTGTTGAGTCATTTTTGGAAGCATTTTCCCTTTTTTTAAAACTTCAAATATTTTAATATGTTTGTCTAGTTTATTATATAGGAAAATTTGTGTACTGTGTTGAGTGGATGATATTTTTTATTTTTACAACACATTTTTCATCTTCAGAGTTTTTGTAGATTAACTTACAGTTTTATGTAACAGCAGGAATCCCATTCTTTCTTTGGGCTTTATTTGGCTTTCCTTTAAATTTTTTTCCTATTTCAGAAGTACGTAAATGAACAATTAGTTTGTGGGTTTGGGGTTTTTTTGGTCTTCTTGAGCAGGGATGTGGAGTATGCCTTGCTTTTTTTTAAGCTCAAAATAGTAGAGTCTATGTAAAAGAACACTGCCAAAGGGCAAAAAAGAGGGAGAAGAGACAGTGGGATTTAGTCTAGGATTGCCACTGGTCCTCCTTGTTCCTCTGCTAAAAGGAGCAGAAGGGTGACCAAGAACTTCTTGGGGCTCTGAAAAGCAGTTTGAAAACCCCTGGTTTTTCAAAGATACCAAGTTATTCTGTAACTATTAAAAACAGAACAGTGCTTGGATGAAATAAGTAGGTACTGGGTTGATACTTTTGTTTTCCTCAAGAATAGCACAATAACTGGTACAACAGTACAGGAACAGTCCGACAGAAGAGAACTGGCATGGTGTGATGTGTGTTTGTACACATGTATATAAGGATACACATGTAATTTGGACACAAATATAAATTATAGTCCAAACTTGGTGACGGTCAAATACATTCACATACATGGTATCTGGCATGTGCTTGAAGAGCAGTTTATTTTTAATTTTAAATAAACAGTACATAAACCGAGGTCGTCTTACGCCGTAGTAGCCAAAAGAGGTTTAGTTTCAGCTCAGCTGGTACTGGGTCCAGGACCAACCATCCATTTACCAGACTGGGTCCTTCTTAGATCACTGGCCAGCACTCAGTGTTATGAAGAGCCAACACAGATCTGGTTATGCACATTTATTGGAAATAACTTTGTAATGGAAAGAAGTGTACTGATTGATGGGCTTCGCCCGTAAGTCGTACAGCTCTGAGGAGCAGTGCCCGTGTACAGTCAAACTCTGCCCGCACGGCGACCCAGACTTCATGGACCTTGACCTTGTGTGATGGATAGTGCCCCGTGCTTGAGCTGGGACTCTCTTCCTTTGAGGAGAAGCCGTTCAGACTGGTCTAGATCTGTCTTGTTCTTGACTGTGCTGCCACGCTTCCACAGCCGCGGCAAACCCTTTGCTTCCACTTCATTGTGGCACTTGTTAAAGCTGACTTCAGTCTTCCTTTCTGGAGTTCTTCCCTCAAAAAAAGTTTCTCTTTCTCTTCCCTTGAATGTGAATTCATTAGGTTCACCTTTGTGTGTTCTCTCCTGTTACTTCCCGCTGTTTAACGCCAAAGATAAGATGCACCATGTTTCAGAAGATCTGTTGTGCTAAGTCTGGAGAATTTCTAAAGTCTTTAACCATGTTTTCTGCTGTCTGTTCCTTGCTCAGGGGTGCAGGTTCATAAATGTAGTCCTTAGTCTGGCTCCTGCAACTCAGTGGCAGGCATACCTCAACTCCTGAAACTCCCAAATACGTCTTAAGATGTATTTATCCCTTATGGATTGTCTTACTCATATGGATGGCCACTTCTGGAGAAACAGTAGCACCATGAGGTTTTTCAGGTTCATCAGATTCGATTTCAAGACTAGTTTAAAGATAAGAGAAAATGCCAGTTAACAATAGCAAAGAATAACACTGAGCTCTTGATAGTAAAATTTTAAGGTGAAAAAGAAGAAAATCAAACATCACTCTGAAGTGCCCCCACCACGATCAGCAAGTCAAAGGAAGGAGGGCTGTTGGGTGGCTCTTTACAGTCTTCCAGAGCAGGATCAGGAGTGTTGGTTTGGAGGAAGGGACAAGACTCAGCTCCTTCCTTCCATTTTTGACCATGTTCCGACAGCTGCTCCTTGAGACCCCCAGAAACCCCTTTTCCACAGCGAAATCCCCTCTTATTTTAATTTTGTTTCTATTTTTAACCTGCCTTACACAGCCTTGTACCAGGAGCTGGTACTGTGTCTGCAGTCCTGTAGTGCTGGCACATTCCTGCCTGGTTAAATGACTCTCGGACTGGTCACAACCTTTCCGTTGTCCACCAGACCCTCAGCCTGGTGGGGAAGGAGCTCAGAGTTTGGATTGCTGCTTGTGGGATGCGTGCCCCCTCAGCCACTGAGACCCCTGCACGTTGGGCTCCTGAGAGCTCCAAAAAGGAATTACTCTCCCGAACAAGGATGCATGGCGGAGCCCGTAACTCCCCTACAATCTCCCTTATATAGTCTGATGCTAAAGAAAAATGTTTTAGAATTCAGTCCAAGGTTCTTAAGTGAATAATTACATCTCTTGACAAAAAATCAAGCTTCTGTTTAGTTCCCTCTTCCCAGAAGTAAGAGCTGTTCCTTTCTGGCTGGTGCCAATGCATCCTTTTCACTAATACACAGGATAGATTAATCCGACTGTAAACAAAAAGGAGTCTCTTCTGCTTGCCTCTCCATTGCTACTTTTTCCTCTTTCACCATATCCCCAAATAAAATGTCAACATCCAAAATGAAGTATTCGTTACCTGGGGGTCTTTTCTGGGGAAGCTTCACAGTCTATTTCTTTGCCTCCACTTTTTGGCACAACTCTATGGTAAGATCTCCCATCAAATTGCCACAGTAAGGCCAAGACAAGCTGTAATGAGTGTGTAACTGCACTCGTGAAAAGGTCTTTTCTGAGTTCCTTCTGTGAACAGGAAGAAATAGGAAATGCAGTTTGGACGTCTCTTCCATGTACCCGTGTCTCCCCCAGGAGTTGTTCACACCATGTACCTAAACCAGTGCTAACCCCAAACATAAACCAGTCACCCCTTTCTACTACGATGACTGCAGAATTGCCTTCTCAGTCACAGAGAGAAATAGATTCTTTATAGGTCTCTGTAGCACCTATTACCATGGTTAGATCAGTTATAGTGCCTTTTTTACTAAGTAGCTAGTACTTCCATACTCTTTTCCATACTGTGTTTGTTTAACTCAAAAGTACAAAGGGACAACCCCAACATTTACTTGTCTAAGTTGGAAACAGCTTTATGGAGACACATTAAATGTGTTGGACCTCAAGTAGCCCTACAATAGCAATAGTCTCTCACAAACATTCTCTAAGAAGCCCAGTAATGTAGCTATGATGACTAAGCTTTGCAATAAGAATTATCAGTCTTCTTTTGAAGAACCTACGTTTTTCAACAGTGAGCATTCAGGGAGGTGGTGGTCTTTGTCCATGTCAGCTGTGAACAATTAGTTGCTTCGGTCTTTCTATTAATAGCAATTGCAGGCTTGCTTACGTGTAGCAGGATTCATGAGGTGAGGGATGAGTAAGTGTGGGGATTACTGTTCATGGATCATCCAGAGCTGGACCATCCTCACAGTAGCAACTGGCTGAGGACCAGCTGCCTTGCTCTCTAAGCCCTCATCTCCTGTGCCTTCAGGGAATCCATCCTGCAGGGATTCCTCTGGGCTGCGTAGCTTCTTGGCTCCCTGAACAGCTCCTGTCTGCTGTCTTGGTCACAATTCTGTACGTGTGGTGCTTTCAAACTTTCAACGGTGCTTTTATAAGATGCTGGATAAATGGTTTCAATGTGCTTTCTGCAAGCTGAGGCGTAAAGCTGTGACACAGGGTGATGTCTCTAGTGTTGTCTCCTGCCCAGAACAGCGTTAACTGTGTTACTCTGGCTGCGCGAGGCTGACGGTGCTGCCCTGCCTCTTGTTCATCTCAACCAGAATGGGGTCATCAGGCACAACCAGCCTAGGGTGGGCCACGGGTGGGCAAAAGCAGCCATTGAGGCCAAGTGCCTTGGCTTGAAAGCAGCTCAGACACGGCTCTCACCTCTGCAGTGTGGGACTGGAAACATCCAAGAGCCTAGCTCTAGGACTAAGGACATTTTGTCCTCTGTCCTACTGTGCATATACATTTGTTTGCAATACGACTGTAAGAAACCTGTTTCTGCAACGTTTTAATTTGGGCCCCACTCCAATGAGGGACTTTTGCTGTTTGGCAAGCTACCAGTTATTTCAGACTGGTTACTTATGTAGGTTGGAACATGCCCAAATGAGGCTGCTATGTCTCTCACAAGTAACTTGGTGTGTGAAACCTACTGCAAAACAGGAGAATGCAGAAAGATGCTGGGCCTGGCAGGTTCTCCTGTGGTGGCCTGCTGGAAACTTTCGAGGGCAGGTCTCTTCCTGCAGGGAAGCATAAATGCTATTAATATGATTTCATACCCTGGTGCTGAAGTTGATTTGTAGCATCTCTTTTGGGATGGTGATGGTTGGAGACATTACCAGAGCAGATCTCAGCCTCAAAAAAAAAAAAAAAAAAAATTTCAAAAAAGTATTTTTCTCTCTCTTGCTGGCTAGCAACTTATGTTGAAGATTATGCTACAGATAAATGCTGTGGATAGACCATCACAGGGATAAAAACATAGGGTTACGTTTCTTCAAGGACCGCCCCTACCTTTGGTTGGGTCAGTAAGAAAGATCCCAGGCTTGCGAAAGTATTGAACAACAAAAGTATTAAACAAATTAATGCCTATGTGGTAATTTCCCAGGAGTGCATTAGGCTGTCACACACACTAGACACTGCTCCTTTCCTGTGGATAACAGAAAGATGAAAGCTTATTTGTAATACAAGAATCTCATTGATTAGTTGGTAACACTTACTTTTAAGTTACTTACAAGTGACCGACCTGTAAGTAACTGAGGGGTAATCCAAAGGTCTACACAATTTAGATATATTTAATTAACTCTCAATGACCCAGCTCAGGTGTTGTAACAGAATCACTAGAACAATTTAATGCTCTACTTGGTCTGAGCTGCTCACTGAGCTCACTCCAGCACCCCAATTTCCACAGCACATGCATGGATTATCTTTGTATTCCCTACCCATTGGCCCAGTCTATAGGTAACATAAAACTGACAGTTCTAGGTTTGTTTTTTTTCAAGCTGTGAGGTTTTATTTCTGGAGGTGTTCGGTTTCAAACTGGCCAGAGGGACAGTCGCTGCAAACATGATAGCAAAGTGCCTAAAAATAAAGATGTTTCTGAAAATGTAAAAGATGCTCACTGTTACTGCAGAGCATCTTGTCTCCTCTCTGTGGTACTCTCTTGCCATACACGTTCCTAAAGATTCGCTTTCATTTGTGATGTTCATTTATTGTTACAATAGCACAATCTGACAAAGTTTCTGTCTCCGCAAGTTCAGTGTCTAATTTTAACAAGCATGTGTTTGTTACAGAAAATATAAAACAAGATTCGTTGTTCAGTTTGGAGGGCAGCTATGTTATTTCTTATAGTTTATGATAATGCAAAGATCTTAGATGATTTACAAAGTATGTAAGTATCACTTGACTTCAAAATGCTTCTTTTGAGATTTGGGAATGCCTCCCGTTCACTACAAGACAATGTTACCAACTCTTGTCCTTTTCATCTGGTAATATTGGGGAGGGGGTTTTAAACTTTAAAAAAGACAGCGTTGATGTTTCGACTTCCTCATTTCTATGAAGAGACTCTCGTATTTTAACCTTCAGCCTAGGTTGGATTTGGACTACCCTCTTACTCAAGGAACTCCTCCCCGCCACGTTCAGACATCACCCTCTTGAGTATCTCTTTTGTCCTTGATGAAATACGGCAACTGTCCAGAGGGCACAGAAACTGCCTCACGCGAATGGGACCACTTCTGAACGGGACCTTTTTAGTGTGCCAGGGAGATTCAGAAGCGTGGACTTAAGTCAGATGTTTTGGGGAAATCACATCCTGTCTGGCAGACTTCTGTGGATGGCTTCATTTTCTCTTTCAAGGCAAGAAGTTCTGTAGCTTGCAAAGCACTCAACTGACGCGGAAAGAGGTACGAAGAGGTGAACTGGTACAATGTTTAGTAGTTAAAAAACCACCGAAGAGCACAAGAACCTCCCTTCTCACGTGTCTGAGGACACTGGAATTTGGTCTTTACCTTTGAGGCTATTTGAGAACAGTCATGTAACCAACCTCCTTAGAACATCCTACCAGCAAACAAGTCTTTGAATGAGCTTCTAGATCACTCTGGTGGCTCCTGAGTTTCCACACATACCACCTTCATGACTTCCTGCAGGCCCTGTCTTGTCTCTGTGATGACGACTACTTAGGAATGGCCCTTTGCTTCACAGTCCTGACCCCTTTAATTTAAAGAAAGGGGGATGTGAGCCACTTCTCCTCAGTCTCCTCAGACTGACTAGATTTTTCTAGATGAAAGTGTGTTGAGAACTCACCTGCAAACCCAGAAAAGAGCATTTACTGTTGGGGCAAGACAAGCATAGTCTTCTGCAGCAGCTAGGAAGAGAAAGGTAAAAGGAACAATAGTTAAATTTCATTTGCACTTCACCCATCCCACGGATTTTTAAAGTAGAAGAGGTTACAGTTACGGGATGCGTTAATGAGAATCTCACAGGAGATGGATGGAATTGTTTATTCTTCTCAGTATTCCCTGTACCCAAAGAGGCAGGGGCACGTCCTCTTTGCCCCACCATGACACAGTTTGCTGATCTTTTACCAACCCTCCGTATCAACAGAAATGAAATCAATAAATAAATTCTAAATACATGGTTTTGTTCTGTCATGAACCCAAAACTGACACATGGAGGTGCACTAATGTAAGTACCATGTGTAGCTCTGGACTTGCACAGGTGGTTTTTAGAAACAAACAAACAAGCCTGGATTACTTTGTTTAAATAGAATTATTTGCATGAGACAAGGGTGCAGGATTGGACCCTATGAGTTTAGAAGAAGTTGGCTTTGGTGCTAGGTATTTTTCTTTGTTTTTTCAGTGAAATATATTTTCTTTCTTTTCTGTTAGCGAATTTACAGGACTTCCATAGGAACCACAAAATATAGTCTGGTATATGGATAGTTATCTCTACTAGCTATTATAAAACCATGCCTCAATAGGAGTCCCTTTAAATTGGGTGCTATAGGAGCTTCTGCGTAAAATTGCTTTATATATGGAACACTGCATACTTAGAACATAGTGGATAAATACTTGTAATTACAGACACTTTCGTTTATTTTATCCATTGTTTTATAATGGAAAAATATTTATTACCGAAATGGTTTTCCAGCAGTGTTCTCTTACAGAATGTTCTGGCAACAAACCGTGTTTTCTCGACAACCACTTGATCCTCCGGTCACGGACACACAACCACAAAACATCTTTAAACTGGGGTGAGCTTCTGAAGAGAGAGGCTTAGACCTGGGTTTGGCTCCCGTGGCCTGGACACGTTGCATTTTACAAATTGGTAAATGCCATGAAATTCCTCTCAAGGTTTTCTAGCAGTAAATATGAGTTGATGTAATTTAGTCGTACCGTTATTCCAAGAATCTTCATCCCATGTTTCTAGCCAATTCAGCTTTTGGCTGCTGAAAGCACAGTAGGTAATTATGGTTATTTACTGTAAATGTAGAAAAGTTTTATGTAAATATTTCAGGGGAAAAATGCTACATAAACATATGATGCAGTTATCTAAAAGTAAGAACATAGGTCAATAATATAAAATACAGGTTTTATTTATGTACAGTAGTATCCTAATATTTACTTGTTTATATGCAGAAAAAAATCTTAAGATTCTGTACTGTATTCTCTGAAAGCTTTTAAAAGAGGCTCTGCCATTTTCTCGGTTAATATATTTGCAAATAACTTTTGAATTTAGTGGAAATCCATGTAAATGATGTCAAATGGGAAACATGTTACATTGCAATGAAATTAGTTTAATTCCAAAATCCTGGCAAAATTCATTGGATTGAAATTCAATAGCCAGACAGAATAAAACACAACAAATAAGCATTGTCTTTTGGTTTTGTTTTATTTGTGAGCTGTGCATCTTTATATTATATAATATTATATTACATTAATTATATTTATCTTAACAAATATTTTGCTCAGTCCTTGTAGTCGCTTCCTCCTGCAGATCCTAAAATCTGCATTATTTGATCACGTTTTGTTTGTTCCAGGCATTTCGTGCTGATTCCATTATCTGACAAGAACTATTAAGTCTTCTTTGTGTTATACAGCACCTTATTCCTCCCAAAGCCACAGTCCTGTCAAGATGCAAACGTGCACACAACAGCACCAATTTTAAGTTGTCTCTGGACTAAAGCAGAGACTCCCATGACTACAGCGGCACTATGCCCGTTAATGAAGGTAAAAATACTGGATTTAAGCCTTTGAAAGTTGTGCAGCTTTCAGCATTTTTAAAGGGCTGCAATTGTGGGCCTTATGGATTATCTTCCAAAATTCCCATGACATTCAATTCCTTTTTCTTTGTTAAAAGACGTTTCCCTGCTGCCCTGCTCTGTCAATGGTGAGACTCTAATTTGTGTAGAAATACTTCGAGCACACCCCAAAATGTTAGAGAGGCAGGTGAATTAGGGCCACAGCTGAATCCATAACAGATTCTGGATGTAAATCCACCAGCTGGAAATGTTTTAAGCATGCCACCAGAGCAAGGCCTCTTTGTACACTACAGCACGAGGCTGAAATGGCACCTCACCTGCTGGGACTTGCATTCCACTTGCATTGCACCTTCCCCCTCGTTATCTTTAATTACAGATAAGAGAAGAGCAGCTTTACCCATTCAATGCCAAGCAGTTACTGATAAACAGGTTCCTGGAAAATTCACAGTGCAGCCCTGGATTAGTTATGCTGAGCTGGGAGGCTGGAAAGTTAGGCTGGCACAGACAAGTAGTATCTGTTCACTGTCGGGGCTCTTAATGTTTAATCTATGTAAGTATATTTTAAAACTGAAAGATAAAAGGTTTTAGGTTTTTCACTCAAATATATAGGTTTTCACTCAAAGACTCACCGTTCACTCTGCTTATGGAGCATAATATTATATTGAACTAGAAAGCGCCGGAGCTCAAGAGTGGCTTGACATTACTTGGTAGAAAATCTGACAGATTTGTTTCAAAAGCCCAAAATTGTGGTGACGTGCTCTCTCATGAAGGGCTGATCTCCCTCGCACCTCCAGCTGATGACATACTTTATCACTACTTCTTCTCAGCTGGTTATTACACAAATGAGATTGACCCTTCATGTAACTCACACAACTTTAATTTCCATGCAGCCTTTGTGGAAGGACCGGTAGGCGAGAGCAAGAAGTGCCAGTTCAGGCAGAAACCAGGGATCCCGTGCAAGTCGTGGAGCCAGAAACCATATTAGAGCTGTGATAGATACTTCTGAAAAAAAAAAAAAGTAAAGCTAAAATGTTTATTGACCAAAGCAGTATGGCTCTGTACTTCTACAGATGTGAAAAAGAATGTAAATCCCATCACCAGTTAATGTAATTACAGACTATTAGGATAATATAAGATAATAATAAGGATCATTATTATTAAGGATTGCGGTTCGCCACAAAATGAAGAAAAATTAAGGGAGATCCGGTAGCAATCTGTGTATTCAGGCTGTTGGAAAATTTCTACCATGTAAAAGTTTTTTGTGACCTGTTTTTAGAAGCACATACATGCTCTACATTTAGGTAGTTAACCTTTGAAACTCGGCAAGGACAAAACTTTAAGGCTAGCGTTGTGTTTTTCCTTTGCCCCATAAAATTCTGTAAGTGTTTGGCTAAGCTAAAAAGCCAGATTATCCTAAAAGTCGTTGCTTTCCTTCATTATTTTTTCTAGGAAATGATGGGAGCCTTCAAAGAGAAACCTGACCCTGAGCTTGTGCCTCAAATCAAACCGCAGAGCGCCAAGCCTTCTCCAGCCACCTCCTCCAAGGCTAGCACTCAAACTAGCATTCAGAGGTTTTTTTCCTATCTTTCCTGCAGCTTATTTTCAGCAACGAAGTGCAAACAAGAAAAGATCCAGGCAAAATGAAGCCAGAAGCCAGAAGGGCAACAAAGCTGGTGAGGGGTCTGGAGCATAAGTCTTATGAGGAGAGGCTGAGGGAGCTGGGGGTGTTCAGCCTGGAGAAGAGGAGGCTGAGGGGAGACCTTATTGCTCTCTACAACTCCCTGAAAGGAGGGTGTAGAGAGGTGGGGGTCGGTCTCTTCTCTCAAGTCACAGGCGACAGGACAAGAGGAAATGGCCTCAAGTTGCGCCAGGGGAGGTTCAGGCTGGATATCAGGAAAAAATTTTACATGGAAAGGGTTACCAGCCATTGGAATGGGCTGCCCAGGGAGGTGGTTGAGGCACCATCCCTGGAGGTGTTCAAAAGACGGGTTGATGTAGTGCTGGGAGGTCTGGTTTAGTGATGATGCTCCTTGTTTGTTGTGTGGGTGTCTATTTTTGTCAGTTAGGTTGACGGTTGGACAAGATGATCTTTAAGGTCCCTTCCAACCTAGAAGATTCTGTGATTCTGGATGGACTATGAAGGGAACAGCCAGCGGTGGCTCCATGTGGTGGAGTCTTACCAAGTCTCGTAAGCCAGCAGCAGGACCGGCGTTGTGCTGCTTTGGGGTTAGAGGGCTGAGGCTGGAGAAGGGAGCTGTCAGTAGCTTGTCCTTAAAATATCTAGGAACTGATACAAAAATGGCCTGTATTAAAATTTGTCACAAACTCAAGCACCCAGAACATAAGGAAATACTAGATACCCAGTTGTTCATGTAAGCCCAATTCCTTCCACAGTGCATTTACAGAATGGTTGAGGTTGGAAGAGGGTCCAGCCCCCTCTGGGGGTCATCTTGTCCAACCCCCCCAAACAGGACACCCAGCACAGGCTTCCCAGAACCATGTCCACATGGCATCTGAGTAAGTCCAAGGATGGAGGCTCCACAACCTCCTTGGGCAACCTGTGCCAGTGCTTGATCACTCTCCCGGTGAAAAACTGTTTCCTGATGTTCAGAGGGAACTCCTGTGTTTCAGTTTGCGCCCATTGCCTCTGGTCCTGTCACTGGGCAACAGTGAAAAGAGCCTGGTTGTGTCTTCTTTGCACCTTCCCTTCAGGGATTTATAGACATTGATAAGACCCCCCCCCCTTTAGCCTTCTCTTCTCCATGCTAAACAGTCCCAGCTCTCTCAGCCTTGCCTCAGAGGACAGAGGCTACAGTGCCTTCATCTTTGTGTCTCTTCTTGGACTCTCTCAGTATGTCCATGTCTGTCTCATACCAGAGAGCCCAGAACTGGACCCAGCCCTCCAGGTGTAGCCTCACTATTGCTGAGTGGAGGGGAAGGATCACCTACCTCTACCTGCTGGCAATACTTTGCTCAGTGCAGCCCTGGCTACCGTTTGCCTTCTTTGCAATAGCAAATTTCTGGCTCACATTCAACTTGATGTCCACCAGGACCCCTCTATGCCTTTTCTCCAAAGCTGCTGTACAGCTGGGCAGCCCCCAGCATGTACTGGTGCCTGGGGTTGTCCCTCTCTAGGAGCCAGGCTTCACATTTCCTCTTGGTGAAGTTCATGAGGTTCCTGTTGGCTCATTTCCCTAAGTCTGTCGAGGTCTCTCTGGGTGGCATCCCTTCCTTCCAGCATGTCAATCGCACCACACAACTTGGTGTCATTGGCAAACTTGCTGAGAATGCACTCAATGCAACTGTCCATGTCATCACGAAAGATGTTAAGTCCCAGTACCGACCCCTGAGGAATGCCACTCATTGCCTTTGACATCCCTCACCAGATTTAATTCCAGTTGGTCTTTGGCTTTCCTGACTCTGCATGATTGGACATGGTCTCTGTATTCCTCACAGGTTACCTGTCCCTGCTTCCACCTTCTATATGCTTCCTTTTTCTGTTTGAGTTTTGCAAGGAGCTCCTTGTTCATCCATGCAGGCCCCCTGGCATTTTTGCTTGACTTCCTGCTCCTTAGGATAGTCTGCTCTTGACCTTGGAGGAGGCAAGGCTTGAATATCAATCAGCTTTCTTCAACCCCTCCTCCCTCCAGGGCCTTATCCCATTGGACTCTTTCAAGCAGATCCCATCCAGCCACCTCATTCACCAAATAAGGGGATTCTTGTGGAAAAGTAGTGTTGTGACCTTATTTTCAATGACTTTAATTGCTTGATCAAGTGTGGGTTGTTTGGTTGTTTTTTTTCTCCACAGAAACTGACTCAGTGAGTCTTAAACCTAAAATTAACAAGAAGCCGTATGAAGTATGTGCAGGTATTTGTAAATCTGAGATTTCCTTCCTTCCAGATTTTTCAGCCTAGGTAACACTTAAAAGTGACGTGTCTGTAGGTGACACTATAAAGACTGCTCAGTGCAAAGATGAGATGGCAAAGATCCTGTTCTTTGTGATTTACAACTAAAATACTCATTGGGCAGATGAGTGCCAAGAGATGAGTGGGAGTAAAGTCATCCTCCGCTTCCGAATCTCTAGGTCCTCCCGGCTTCGTCTACGGTGCTCTGGAGTACCTGTGGTATCTAGAGGCTCAGCCACAGCCTGCTTTTGCAGCCCATGTTACCAGGAGGCACAGCTGGCTCTGGTACGTAAGGTCCCATAGAATCATAGAGTTGTCCAGGCCGGAAGGGACCTCCAAAGGCCATCTAGTCCGACCCCCCCGCAGTCAGCAGGGACACCCCCAACTAGACCAGGTTGCCCAGGGCCTCGTCGAGCCTCTCCTTGAATATCTCCAGGGATGGGGCCTCAACCCCCTCCCTGGGCAACCTGTTCCAGTGCTCCACCCCCCTCCCAGTGAAGAACCCTCTCCTCATCTCCAGTCTAAATCTGCTCCCCTCCAGCTTGAAGCCATTGCCCCTCGTCCTGTCACTGCAGCCCTTTCTAAACAGGCTCTCCCCAGCCTTCCTGTAGCCCCTTCAGGTACTGGAAGGCCGCTATTAGGTCTCCCCAGAGCCTCCTCTTCTCCAGGCTGAACAACCCGAGCTCCCTCAGCCTGTCCTCGT